GACAGAATGGCGATTGTTCTTATTAAATAACAACACTAACACTCATTAGCTACCATCACTACAAGAAGCCAGTTCTGTTCTGAGTGCTGTATGCACAGTATCTCATTATATCCATAATTTACAGGGTAGAATTATCTCCACTGTATTAGTCAGCTAGAATTGCCATAACAAAATACCATAGACTGAGTGGCTTAAACAACAGAAATTTATTTCTCACAGTTTTGGAAGCCAGAAAGTATGAGATCAAGGTGCCAGCTGATTTGGTTCCTGGTGAGGGTTTTCTTCCTGGCTTGCAAACAACAACCTCCTCACTGTGTCCTCACATGGTGGAGGGGTGGGGGTGGTACGGAGAGACAGAGGGTGAAAGGGAGAGCGAGAGAGCTCGAAGGTATTTCTTCTTATAAGGGCACTAATCCCATCATGAGGTCCCCATCCTCATGACTTCGTTTAACCCCAATTATCTCCTAAAGGCCTCATTGCAAAATACCAATACAGTAGGCTTTAGGGCTTCCACACATGAATTGTCAGGGAGAGTCAGGGAGGAACAGTTCAGTCAATAGCATCCACTTTACAAATAAATGATGTTTCAAGAGAACAAGGAGTTCACAACAGCTCACTCAGTTGGCAAGCAGCAGAGTTTGAACTTGAACCCAAGGGTATCAGACTCTAAGAGAAAAATATCTACTACTTATTGACTGCCCACTAAGTGTTAGGTGTATCTATACAATATCTCTATTCTCTATGGGAAGCCAAGTTTTTCCGATTATTCTTCCCAGTTATAGATACGGAAACTGGCCCCAAATAGTTAACCAGCTATTCACAACCTACCATCTAAGCCGAACCAGTAGTATAACATTTATCCTACTAGTTATCAAAGTGAGGCCCCCATCATCACCTGGGAACTAATTAGAAATGCACATTTTGGGACCAAACAGCAGACCTACCGAATCAGGAACTCTATGGTGGTGTCCACAATCTGTGTGTTAACATACCTTCTAGGTAAATCTGTTCCATGATAAATTTTGAGAACCACTTGTTTGTTCCATAAATTTATTAAAATAACTAATGCATTGAAAACTCAGTAATAAGTGGTATATCCAGAATTCATATACAGATCTGTTTGGTTCTAAAGCCTGTGGCTTTCTGCTATACTCGGTTCTAAAGCCTGTGGCTTTCTGCTATACTGTACTCTTCCATCCCAACTTTACGAAGGGAAGATCTGTGATTGCAGAGCCCAGTTCTGAATTCTGCTTTGCCGCTATAATTCCGATCAGTTCTCCTACCTACAAAAATGTGATACAGGAAAATGTCAAAAGATAATCCCTGAGAATTAATAATGCTGCTTAATACTAATCAGGAAACACCTTTGGTATGAACTAGAAACGAAACTTTGTGAAATTTTTATTTGGGCCTGACAATTTTGTGTTCCATTTAGTGTAAATGAGAAACAGTCCAGTATATGGAAACAGTAAGTATGGAACAAAGTTATTTCTTTTAAAAAGAAAAAAAAATGATTTTACCCTCTTTGACTTTTTTTTAATCATGTTTAATCCATCTAATTGATCATTGCTTTACCTACATGTTATCGCTGTATAATTACCCCATGTCCCCCCTGCAAGGAACAAGATTATATTATATCCCTTTATAAAATCTTGATAATTTACACAAAGGAATAAAAATCTGCTTATAATAGAAATGGAGATTTCTATTTCTCATTTTTGGAGTGGTAAATGAAGGTACCTGATCTCACATCAAATGCCTTTTAAAATCATTCACAAAATAAAAGCACTTTGAAAAGGGTTATTTCCAGTGCAAATATAGTCACCTGCTCTTGTGATCAATACACCTCTAAAACATTATATTAATATTTACAATATTAATGAACATGTGTTAGTCACTGCACAAAGCCTTTTACATATGGTAAAACTCATTTAATTATCACACACATGAGGTAGCTTTTAGGATTATTCCCATTTCACAGATGAGGAAATTGAGAATCAGGGAGGGTAAGTAATTTGCTAGAGCTCCTTCAGCCAGGAAGTACAGGACTCTAGATATTAAGCTTATTAAAGAGCTCTTGCTGAAAATTGATTCAGACACTGACACTTGGCTCTGGATGGATGGGCTCAGCGTTGCTCTGCATCTGGATTACTTCCAAAGGCCCATCTGTGAGCCTGCCTGACCCCCGGGATGGGGCGGCGCAGCCTTGGCGGCCTTGGCACTCCATCTGGAGAGACTGAAAGGGAACAGCAAGGTGGTGACTCAGCGGCCTTGACTGTCCCTCAGTCTCCTGGGAGACAGAGAGCAAAGTGATAAAGGGACAGAGTGGGAACTGTAGTTCTCGTTTCTCTGTTTGTTTTCCACTTGATTCTTAAAAACAGACCTATTAATCATTTAGTTCATGACTTTGGTCATTCCACTGACTCCTAACACATTTGAGTCAATGAAGCAAAAACTAGAAAGTTGTGTGTTCAAACTTCTCAGATGGAAGAATTAAAATCCTTTGAAAACATTTCATCAGCCAGCAGAAAGAGTCACATGTTTTTCTGCTTCAGAGTTGTAGATGGATGTGACTTAAGCCCTAACTGGGAAAAACTTTGTGTGATTTACAACAGCAGATAGATATTCTGAGTAACCTTCTCATACTTTTATTCCACCTACCAAAAACAAAAGCTGTTTTCAGCAGAGCCCAATTAGGTGAAAAGGGCTTTCCAAGGAAACTGTTGCGTGTGCTTCTTGATTCTGTCCTGATTTGGGAAGTTCATCCAGGCTGAAATTACTTTGTGGAGCTGACAGGAAGTTTGTTCAATGACTTTTGCCTTTCACAGCCCTGCTCTCCTTATCTCTACAGACACGCTTCCCACTTTCTTTTCTAGCTCCCTTCCTCCTTTCCTTCACACACACCTCACACCTCCCATCTACTTTGATTGTATTAATTGATACCATAAAGAACACGGTTAGAAGGGGAGGCACAAGTGTTGTAGCATTTGAGGGGCTTTTAGTGCAGGAATTAAAGGCTAATACTTGGCCTGGCCAGATCTATCATTGCATGCTATGTCCAGACTCTCCAAAACTGTGAGAGTCTATTTTGAGTCCCTCTTTCATATCTTTGTCAGGATTTGAGTTCACTGAATATGCTGAGAGCTTCAGATAGAAAAAGACCCTACCCCTCCTCTCAAGGAGCTGACGCTTGCCCAGCAGGGACAGTAGGTTAATGAGTAGCAAAGCTCTCCCTAGTTAATCCGGCTCCAAGTGTAGTGTGATGGGTCCTCTACCAGGTTACTTAAGGGTGTATGTCCACTGCCTGAACCTTAAAGGTCAGGTAGTGAGCCAAGGCCGTCATGCCCAGCCGAGGAGCAGGTGTCTCTGAGAACCCAAACGTACCAAGGAAAACAGTCCCATCACACAGGCACAGTATGCAAAGAGCCAAATAATTAGCTTAAATGAGAGATAGGAAGCAGAATGAATCTCTAGAGCTGTCCTGCTACCTCCCAGGAGTGCTTTGTATGTAAGTCTTAATAAACTCATCTACTCACCAAGCTGGACTTGTCCAAGTCATTTTGGTCTCTTGATACCTTCCCAGTTTGCAGGGGGTGGGGAGGAAACATTACAGTCCTAAGTTTTTCTCATAACACCAAGTGGATTCATTTAGAAGGCAATTTCCTAGCAAGCATCAAATTCACAGCAGATCTCCCTGGATCAAGGGTGGTAAGCTTTCTAGTAAAATGATCGGTTTGGAATCAGATCTACTTAAGCCTAAATCCCTGTTCTACCTTGGACAAGTCATTGAATCTCATTAAGCCTCAATTCTCTCTACTATAAAATGCAAATGACATCTACCTCAAGACTCTACATGAGGATTAAATGAGGAAATGTCATACAAAGCATATGGCATAATTATTGGCAAACAGGAAGTACTCAATAAAGGGTAGTTTCCCTTCTTCCTCCTTCTCTCTTCCCAGGCCTCACAAGAGGACTGTGGCTTCTTAGTGAGATGATATAAAAGAGACTCTAACAATATTAAACACTTCAGGAGCACCTACTACATCCCAGGCACTATCCTAAGCACTTTATATATTTCAGCTCATTTAGGTCTTCCCTAAAACCCAATAAGATAAGAGCTATTATCATCTCTACTTCATAAATGAGATATCGGGTAACTTTCCAAAGTCACACAGTCAGTATGTATGTGATGGGGCTATGATTTGATCCCAGTTTATCTAGCTCTTAACTATCACATTATTAGGAAACAGATAGTGAAAGAGGTGCTAACTGTATCTGGAATGCAAGTACACAAAACAAGCAGTCCTCAGACAATGGGCTCTGTTTGATTTGCACAGTGTTTTAAAAATCAAGTCTGTATTTCTGACTGCTTTCAAAAAAGTTGGAAGATCTGGCACTAGGCAGTTCACATAGTGATGTAGCAACAAGCCATTGACTGGTGGCTGCTGTCTGGACTGAGGTCCCTAGTTCACCAGTCTCCAGTGCTCACAGCTGTATTATAGGGCCTGCTTCACTTTTAATCTGCACATACATTTGAGCTTGCCATCCAAAATTAGGCAATGCTGCTAAACATGGTCTTAGCCATAAAGACACAAGAATTGTGTTCAGTAATGTGCACCCAATGGTTAAAATGTCTGAATTAAATGAAGGAAAAAAATGAATGTAGGAAAGAGGTCTGCGTGAAAAGCAATCAACAACCAGGTTCAAACACAACCACGCAGAAAATGCCTGGATAAGCCTTTGAGCCCTATGTGCAGAAATTGTAAACTCCTGCTATTCTCCACATCTCCACACCTAAACAAAACCTGAAAATGCAAGTTTCCTTACAGTCCATGGAGCAAAGACTCTTTTGCCTTCAATGTTAAATGCATTCCTCTTTGTTTGGCATAGCTAAAAGAGGGAGTTTAAATTTTCATGTACTACTTAACACAAACAATAACATTTAAAGTGGTTCTCTCTCTCTCTCTCTCTCTCTCTTTTTTTTTTTTTTTTTTTAGCTCTTTAGGCCTTAATGATTGACATGATCTTGGAGATCAGTTAGGTATGTAGCAAACCTCTCCTAGAAACCTGGAAGATGTGGCAAGAAGAAAACATGGAGCCTTTTCTGAACAAGCCTATGAGAGAAGAAGAATCACTTCAATTTATAAGTGTGGATCCTGGGACTAAAGAACTTACCTAACACCACACAACCAGCAAATTACTGACCCTGCATATTCTGAACCAGGTCTTTATTCTTCCCAGGACTTCACAGTGCCTTCCTCAGAGCATCTCTACATGAAAATCTGTATAAAGAAGTGATCTGTGGTGTCGCCATTTGTATCAAAATGATATCACCAACTTATTTAAAAGACTTTATCTAAAAGTCTTCAGATAGTTTTGGCCAGGGAAGAGCTCTAATATCACATATTAATAGCCCTACCTTTGTAATATGTAAATTGTGTTTTTTTTTAACATCTCAGTTTCATTAAACTGAGGCCAGAAAGAGCCATCATCTTTTTACCAATTTGTAATCATTTCATTGTGTTATGGACCTGCAGCAATGTTGACTATATTTACAAATCTGTGAGTGAAATCTTAAAACCATTTTCCTCTTCTAATCTCTCCCATCCTGCCTTCTTAGAAGCACACAAAGCATCTCAACCACTCCCAAATTCCCTGTTGGAATACCCTTAATGATTCTGAAATATTTTGTTATTCCCCAAACACCGCCCTAAAGACGAATCACTGGACTCCAGGCTCTTCACATTGCCAAGTTGAATAGAGTTCAAATGTTCTATCTAACCAAACTCTAACTTACAACAAAGCCACATATAGTAGATGATGTGTAAGATATTCCGAAAATACCAAGGCAACAGGGAAAAAAGTCTGTGTCATCAAGAGGTCCTCCCAGAACTTCTTGTAATCTAGAATAATCATTTTTATCAAGCTCCTGTAACCTAATCATAGCACACATGTGTATATATGTATGACTAATAACATAAATCAACTTTCATTTTAATAATGTATAGCTTAAATTTTCTCACATCCAAAACAATTAGTGTTGCCAAATTTAAGATTATTTCTCTTTAGACATCAGAACATGCACGAAGACTTGAGGAATAAACAAACCCAAGAAAACAATCTTAGCCTGATAAAGTAAAAATTTTGAATAAATTCATAAATCATTTAAAACACAATCTTATTAAATTAGCCATTTCATAGTATGCTATGAATGTAAAAGCAGAACACAGAAAAGGCATTTTCCAAAAAGATATAGGACTTACTAGAATTTCCTTTTATGTTAAAAAATGGCCCATGGAAGAGCAGTTTCCAGAATGACCAGGGCATAGGCGGACACCTCTTTCATTGGAAGCTTCACCAAAGAGCACACTTCTCCTGAACTCAGAATTTTGAGTCCAGACCCAGCTCTTGCCAAAGTTCACTGGGAGTTTTGCTAAGCTTCAATGCGATCCCACCTCAAAGCTCTTTGGAGACAAAGTTAAGGTAAGTTCCCCTTAATATTTCCAGAACCGTATGAACATATAAGCAAACTGTGTAAGGCTACATAGAAATGATTGAATTTTGATTTCTTCAAACTACAAACACTTTAAAGACAAGGATTCTCCTCTCCATTTATTTTGTATTACTGGCACCAAGAATAATGCATAGCACATAGTTGATACTTAATAAAGTCAATACTTGTATAAATAAACTGAAAAATTCTCACAAGACCATTGGGGGCAGTTTTACGAATCTCCCTGTAGCCCTGCAATTTTCAAAGGTTTCATCACGTAATTCCCCTCACGACTTTTTGGTTCACTAATCATAAAGCCACACAGGCAGAAAGGAAAGAAATTCCAGAAACCAAAAAGCCGTTTGTTTTGTCCATCCGGTCACACATGTATAGAGTTTTAGAGCTAAAAGTGGTATTAGAAGTTGCCTTTGAGCAATCTCATTTTACATGTGAGAAAACTAAAGTCTAAGCTCTTGGGTTAAGTGACTGAGCCTTGATCACCCAGCTGACAGGCACCAAAGCACTTCCCGTTATTATTTCCTACATGTTCCTCTGCAGTTAGCCCCCACCACCTCCACCAGAAAGTATTTGTAGACTCAGGTATTTCCTTTAAAAGTCTCAGATGACTTTACTTGGCGTGTGGTGGAAGGGACCACGATTTTATTATAATTTACCAATAGCCGGGAGTTTTGCTCCATTAAAAAGTATGTATTGACTGACCTACTGAATCTTGCTTTGGGGGGAAGCTTTTTTTTTTTTTTTGAGCCCATTTGAAAATGTTAAACGTTTCATTTCTCTTAGATTATTAAATGAATAACTCCAGGGAAAAAATGTATCGTTGTTTCTTAAGAGTATCAAGACAAAGAGGTAAAACTTTCAATTTGGCCACAAGAGGGCAGCTACAACATTTCCTCCTAGGTCTGCGGTTCTAAACAATGACAAACTGAGTATTTGGGGACTCAGCTTGCCATCGACTTCCTAATAATACCTTTCAACTGAATTCCCAATATGTCACAAAACATTCTCTCATGTTGTTTCCTGGGACGTTTTTTGTTTTGTTTTTAAAGAAATTATTTTCCAACTTCTCTCCAGATCTAGAGAGTACTCTGCTTTAGAACTCTGTGCCAAAGTCACCATCTACAAAGATCTTTGGAGACCAGTAAATTGTTAGGCTAATTAGAAAACCCACAGAAAATGTTTTATTTTAATTAAGTTTGACTCCAGATAAAAATAAAAACAGTAATGATTATCTGATTCCACCACACTTAATAAAGCTTGCTCTAAGTGCTTCACAGGATTTGCCAAATATTTGCCTCATCTCAGCCTTCATTCGTCATTCCCATTTTCATGATATCCTAAAATCTTTCAAGTCAAAATTTATTGTGGAATTTTATCACTGAGCTAAACGGTGGGAGGTCTGCAAACAAAAAAGCAGAGATTAGTAATAGCTACATTCCATATTCTTATAGTTGCACAAAAACATAAATTAAAACTTATTTCATCTTTTAGGTGCATAAAGAGTGGGGAATTAATTTGAAAAGTAAGTGCTAGATTTTATATGTACATATGTGTATGCATCTGTGTGTACATGTGGCTGTGTTTGCATACTCATTAATTTTTTTTTTTTTTTGGTTTTTTGCTAGTAATTATAGATAAGTACTTTGGAAATTTAATATTGATGTTTGTAGATTTTGAAGATGTACATAGTGATGTATTTCCTTCAAATTTACCGTGGAGCCTTTCCCCTAACCATCTTATTTAAAATTGCAATCCCTGTCCCCCTTACCCCCACATATCCTGTCCCAATTCCCTGTTGTATTTTTTCTCTTATCAACATTTAACATACTTTATATTTTACTTGGTTTTTGTTCTCCTCCTTCACAAGCACCCCCTCCCCAACTAGAATAAAAGCCCTATGACGAAGACAGAATTTTTTCTATTTTGTTTATTGCCATGTCTTCAACTCTTACAATAGTGCCTGACACATCAGGGGAACTCAGTAATGCAGCAACATAATAAAGTCATAAAAACTGAAGCATTTTTACTAGAAACTGAAATTTTAAAATATCTGGCATTGCTAATTGAGTACACTTAAGGAGACCTCCTAAAAAGAGATAATAGCCCACTATCAGAACTCAAGCACATTTCCTAAAGCAAGTATCTGAAACAATACTTGGGCTCATGATTATGGCTGAGCATATATCCTTGAATGCTCAGACTCAGCAGGTCCTGTTTCCCAAAAGTCAATCAGACCTGGACTGAATTATCAGCAAAGGTGGCCTCCAAGAGTTGTCACAGTATCACATAAGCAAAGCAGTGAGATAAAGGAAAGAGCAGTGACCTATCAATAAGGAGCCCATAGTTCTAGTTCTGCCTCTGCCACTAGCTAGCCAGGAGTTAAACCATCTTTTTAAATTGTTAGTGCTTCGGTGTCCTCTAAAAAATAATGGATATAACACCCTGTTTATATCAAAGAATTTTGGAATCTAGTGAAATGTGAAAGTATTTTGGTAAGTATGGACTATTTTTCAAGTAGAAGATGTTATGAAAATCAGTGTTTCCTGTACCACATGTGCTATGTAATGCCACCATTTGGTGTGGCCAATCAACAGTTTAATGGTTTAATGAACAATTCTAGGTTGGATCCAGTTCTATCAGTCAAGTGATGGTTTGTCAGGCCCTTCTTGGTACTGTAACCCCTAGGCCTTCTTCTTTCCACTGTTGGGTTTATTTGACCCCAGAAGCTCTGCCCCATCCTGCCTCTATGATCAATCCTAAGTAGAAACAAAAGACACTAAGGGAGTTCTATCCCCATAAAGACGAATTCACATCATGTCACCATACTTACTTAGTCCAGCCCTGATCGTAAATCCCAATGCTGGTAACTGGGCATCTTCTTTCTTCTCCTTCTGATAATTACATCAAGAATTCGCCTCCTCTTGGAAGCATTTTCACAGTAGGTATAAATATTTGCTAAAGGAATGACAAAAAGGCTTTATGCCAGTGTCCCTCTTGGTTTAGAGCTCTGCCAGGTCCTAGTCAGTACATCCTTTAATCCCTTACCTCTTCACTCCTGGCAGCCTTCCCTGATGCTGGCTGACCATTAGTAGCCTATATTTGAGAGCATCAGAAGTACAAGATATCTTCCTTGATTCCTACTGCTATGTTCAACCACCTTTAGGACTTCTCACTTATTCCATTAGACTCTGTAAAGCCAACTGCTTTTCTGATCCATGCTTGGTTGCCATACCCAGTGGATACCACCTTCTATTTGCCAACTGTCCTCTCTCACGGTCTAAAACAGGTCTCTATCCTCAGGGCCTGCCTCACTTCATTCCTGTTCCAGCTCATGGCTTAGCCATACCACAGGACTGTCACTGGGTTAACTGGAAGGATGCTGTCGAGTCATGCCTACCCTGGCAGAACCCTGACGGCACACAAAGCAGTGCAAGTAATGCTCAGCTTCAAAAAATGTTATACTCTAAAAATATGCTTGCAAATAGATTCTCCAGCACTTGAGAACGCATATCTCTACACCAACAACTCATACACTTCAGTAGTCATTCCTTCAAAGACATTCACCAAGTACCTTCTTACTTGGCACTGTTCTTGGCACAGTAGAAGAGAAAGTGAGACACAATCTCATTCCTCCAGAAGTTCACAGAAGAACAAAGGAGACAGTGATAGAAATGATACATATGCAAGGCAGCATGTGGAAAAATGAGGACTATCCACAGTACAGTGAGAACAAGAAAAAAGAGGTGAGCCCTCTGCCTGGGCGGATCAGGAAGGTTCCACAAAGAGACATTCCACTGAGGCCTAAAGAATGAGGAAGTATGCACCAGGCAGATGAGTGGAGAAGGGTGTTCCTGGTATGTGGTTGTCAGGTTGCCAGGCCAACACCCAAGTGTCAATTTAACCCCAACTGTAGCTCCTCCAGTGCTGCAGGCTTATGTCAGAAACAGAAATGGAATAGGTTTTTGTA